GTAGCTACACGTAGATTGTAAATTTGCTCCTGTATGTTATTTTTCACACAGTGTTTAGTGCTTCCCATACAATGAATATTAATACACTGCATAATAAAGTTGTAGTTATTTTTTAAATAAAGTCACCAGGTCGCCATCGTTATCGTCAAACGCTGGACTCAACGGGTCGCAAGGAGGCGTCAAAGCTTTAGGATGGTCGAGAGACAACGTATGGCCAGTATGTAAACTAAAATGGCCATACATTTACTGGAAAAACAAGCACTCTTCTTAGCGTTATAATAGTACCTGTGTACAATACGTCAGGGAAAAACTATTGGGTGATCGAAGTACCGTGATACAATGATTTTTATTTGCAAAACTGTTTACCTGTTTATAGAATCGTGCAGCCACTCTGTTTTTTCTTTAGTCAATTAACCCAGGTGTAATGGGCTCCTGATTGATATAACTACATCTGCCTGTTCATTTCAATTTAAATTCGTCGTAAATTAGGCGCTTATGTGGCTCCTTAAATGACCTCTAGTCATTCTCTGTAATTAACATGTCATTACTTGCGTCAAATTCGGGATTCTTATTTTCATTTAACATATTTTAGTTTTCCAATTTTATGTTTTATTTATTCTAATCTTACAAACGATTTGACTTTTTTGGATTTTTTTCTTTAAAACTTTATTTTTTTTCTGTGATCCGATCCGTGATCCGATCCGTGATCCGATCCGTGATCCGGTCCGGTCCGGTCCGGTCCGATCCTGGTTTTGTCGACGCCGCCTTTCAGTTACAAATCAGGATTAGTACGCACTCTGGTAGACCGAACGTTTAAAATAAACAATACGCTGGCTTTCACCTTGACATAAATAACCTTACCAAAACATTAAGAAGGAATTTGCTCCCTTCTAACGTCATCGAGACTTGTTAGAAAATTTCTTAACAATCATTTCACCTCCGATTCCTCTCGGGGTGCTTCTCGTAAGGACGACTGTTTGCATTTTAAATTACCGTACATCGGTCCTTTTCCTATCACAACGTAACGCAGAATTAAGAAATTATTTAGCACTTTTTGCACTGACGTAGACAGAATTAAGAAATTATTTAGCACTTTTTACACTGACCTAGACATTAAGTGTTCACCCCGTTTAAAATCAGGAGTTGGTTTGGGGTCAAGGATCCTGTCCCTGCGGATTTGCGATCGCGAGTCATTTATAAGTTTTCATGTGCAGGCTGTAGTGCCTGTTATGTTGGTGAAACCAAAAGACACTTTGCCACTCGCATCCGCGAACAGCTCTCCTCTGACAAATATTCCCACATCTTTAAACACCTGAGAAGTTCTGAAAATTGTCGCTCCCTT